ACCAACTTGCAGACTTTCTCACAAAGCCCCTACCTGGTCCTGCATTTCAGCATCTCCTCTCCAAGATTACCATGCCTAATATCCATGCTAATCTTGCGGGGGGGTAACAACATGTAGAAGGATAGAATAGTCTTTTACATTAAAAGTGCATTTGTAATTCAGCACTTTCTATCTCATGTACTCAATAGCATTTTTAGTTCATTTCCTTGTACTATAAATACCAACATGTAAACCCTAATTCATTAATTAAGTCTTTCTTTCTCTTTCTATCCGCCTCTTTCACTTCTCTCTCTTTCGATCTTCAATTCACATACTTCGATCTGTAATATTGACAGTGGTCTGAATGGGAGCTCCGGTGAAGGGCTTGGTCGAGCAGCCCCAGCTCAAAAATAGTGGACGAGTTCTTGCGTACGTATGAAGAAGCAGAAGCTCGAAACAAAATTCTCCATGCAAAATTACATATATGTCCTGACTTAATTTAGCAATTGGGCTACTTTTTTTTGTCCATTATGGCATGTCACGGGCTGCAAGATAGTGGGCCCTGATAGTTGATTTCAATAAAGCCTTGTAATTGGGCCATTTCAATACACAACTAGCACACCGTCTTCATCCGATTATTGTCGTTTTCGCTTTCTGTAAATATCTCGACCCCATTTTCTATAAAAACACAAAATAAAATACCTTCGTCATTGCTTAATAATATTAATTAAATAAATAATAATATATATCAAACTATGAAGAAACGGACACAAAAACCACTATAAAATGCACGTAAATATGACGCATGTCACCTATTGTATCAGACGATGATGATGCGACCCGGTTGTGTCAAGTGGACCTGCCCCGTCTAGTTCTGGGGATTCTGCTAGTGAGGAGGATAGGGGGTAACCCGGAAACCCCTCAAACTGAGTTACTTGGTCGTGGCCATCGAGTCAAGCATCGCTCTTCTCGGTTCACTAATTACGTTTTTTATACTGTCTGTCCACCGTCCCTCCCTGCTGACTCCTCGGTTCGTTCATCATCCTCAGGCCCTCTGTACCCTATTGTTCATTATGTTTCTTGCGATTCCTTCTCACCGGGACATAAGACATTCTTGGCAGCTATAGCTTCTTCTACCGAACCTCAATCTTACGCAGAAGCAGTTCGGGATAGTCGTTGGCGTTCTGCCATGCAGCTTGAGATCAAAGCATTGGAAGACAATCATACTTGGGATATCGTGTCCCTTCCTGAGGGCAAACATGTTATTGGGTGCAAATGGATCTTCCGCATCAAGTACCACTCTGATGGAACAATTGAGCGGTACAAGGCTCGATTGGTGGTTCTTGGTAACTGACAAATAGAAGGGATCGACTTTCAGGAGACATTTTCTCCGGTTGCTAAGATGGTCACTGTTCGGACATTCTTGACCGTTGCGGCAGCACGACGCTGGGAGGTTCATCAGATGGATGTTCACAATGCCTTCTTGCATGGTTATCTAACCGAGGAGGTCTACATGAAACATTCTCCCAGTTTTTCCTCTCCACGCTCTGGTGATGTTTGCAAACTCCGGCGTTCTCTCTATGGCTTGAAACAAGCTCCTCGGTGTTGGTTCGCCAAGCTTGGTACTGTTTTTAAGCAGAATGGTTTCCAACAGTCGCTTTGGATTATTCATTATTTACTCTTCATTGGGATGGTCTGGATTTGCAGGTTTTTGTTTATGTGATGACTTGATTATTTCCGGAAGTGACCCGACCACTATTGCGTCTTTTAAGGATTATTTGGGTCAGTGCTTTCATATGAAGGATCTTGGCATTCTCAAATATTTTCTTGGCGTTGAGGTAGCTCGGAATTCTTTTGGCATATTTTTGTGTCAATGAAAATATGCACTTGACATTGTGGCCGAGGCTGGTCTACTAGGTGGGAAACCAACAGATTTTTCAATGGAACAGAACTATCAGCTCCCTTTGGCGGACAGTGCTTTATTTTCTGACCCCGAGAAATATAGGCGTTTAGTGGGCCGGTTGATTTACTTGGCGGTCACTCGTCCCGATCTCTTCTATGTGGTGCACATGCTTTCTCAGTTCATGCACCAGCCTTGTCAGGCTCACTAGGATGCTGCCCTGCGTGTGGTTCATTATTTGAAGGGTACTCCGGGCCAAGGTATTCTTCTTCGGGCCGATTGTGATTTACATCTTTATGGTTGGTGCGATTCCGATTGGGCGACTTGTCCTACCACTCGTCGGTCGCTTAATGGTTGGTTTGTCCAGCTTGGTCACTCTCCTCTCTCTTGGCGGACCAAGAAGCAGCACACTGTAGCTCGATCTTTCGCTGAGGCAGAATACCGGGCAATGGCTACGCTTACGTGTGAATTAAAGTGGCTTCACGGTTTACTAAAAAGTCTTGGTGTTCATCATTCTCAACCAATGCGCCTTTATTGTGATAGCCAAGCTGCCCTACACATTGCTGCCAATCCGGTTTTCCATGAGTGCATCAAGCACATCGAAGTTGATTGCCACTTTCTTCGGGATGCCCTTGCACAGGGTCTCATCTCTGCATCGCATATCTCCACTCATTCGCAGCTCGCAGATATATTTACAAAGGCCTTAGGCAAGCGCGAGTTTGATCACTTTCTTGGCAAGTTGGGCATTCGGAATCCTCATGCTCCAACTTTNGGGGGGGGGGGGTAGTGTTAGCATATTGGTATATTTAGGGTTGCATATTTGGTTGTATATTTTCCTAGTAGTAGCCAGTAGGTGACTTGTTTGACAAGTAATTCCTTGTAAGTAATCTAGGTCTTGTTGTGTATATATAGGTGATATAATAATATGACGACACCACAATGGGGTGTGCCATCTTCCCATATCTCTTCAATATTTCACGATCTTAACACATTGGCAGATAATTTGTTTTATCCAAAACAGATATTCACGTGCAATACCCAAAAAAAACAAAAAAACATAAGCTTTTACCGAGGTAAAACAGTAAAAGAATGGCTAAATTCAAGGATAACATAATAGATCTTCACAACATTATAAACATATTTATGTCATCTCCAGCCATTATCTCTACTCTAGCGCGCACTATTTACTAGGGCTGAGCATGGGACTCGGAGAATTCTGAACCATTCCGAAAACAGAACCGAAATCACTCCGAACCGAAAAATAATTGTTGACCGTTTGACTTTCTCCGAACCGAACCGAACCGAAAAAATAATTGGTACGGTTCTGGAGATTTCACAAATATCCGTACCGAGAACCGAACTGTCCCATACCGTACAGAACCGAAGGACCGAAATTAAGAACTGCATTATAACATTAGATGTGTTATTAGTATATTTTATTTCACCTTTGATCCTATATAATATAGTAATAATAACTATTAACATTCACTTAACTTTCATGCTTAGTAATACTTGATTTACAATTGAATTTTTCTATTATAAAATAATTATTTAAAATAATATGAAAGGTTAAAAAATATTTTTTTAGAAAAAATATTATATTTTGTTTGAATTTTAAATTTTAAATATTAGTTGTACAAACTTAATCTTAACTAAAATTTAGAGTTACTTATGAAGTTGATTTCATAATAAAAATTTTAATATGAGAAAGTATTGATGAATGTTGGTTTGTTAAAGCATATAAAAATTAAATAATTAAAATTTAGAGTTACTTCTAAAATTGATTTCAAAATAAAATCTTCAATATGATGAATTATTGATGAATATTGCTTTTTTAAAAGCATATAAAAATTAAATAATAACTAGGTAGTCATTCAAAAAAAACTAAAAAAAATAAGAAATCTCCGAAGCTCCGAACCAAACCATACCGAACCGAACCAAACCGTCCCAATAGTATAGAATACCGAACCGAACCGAAAAATAAAAATCTCCGAACCAAACCGAACCGACTTTCTGGTACGGTTTCGGAGATCAATTTTTGGGATCTCTGAACTTTGGTACGGTTCCGGAGATTTATCAATCTCTGAACCGTACCGATCAATGCTCACCCCTACTATTTACTATTCTAGAGTAGACTTGAACATTCATCTCCAGCTCTTATCTCTACATTTTACTTTACATTAAATATTTTGTATTCATTTTTTATTTCAAATAAACTGATAAATATGTATATCTGATATTATATAAAATGTTAATTACTCAACTAATAAAAAAGTTTTTATTTATTTTTATTTCAAATGAATTGTTATATATATGTATATTTTAATGTGTATTGTAAACTTTTAATTTTAATGAAATGAACTTGTTTGAGTGTGTGAAATTATTATTCATTTGGTATCATTTTAATACTAAAAAATTATAAAATGAATTATAATACATCAATAAATAAAAAACATAAAATTATTTAGCATAAAAGATACATTGGACAAATTATTTAGCACAAAAAACACATTTACTAATACACATTATACAAAAAATTTATCAATAATAATACACAGAAAAAAAATGTAGCGCGGTGTTGCGCCACATATGGGGCAACACTGTTCATGACTTTCATCTGGCGCAGAAGTCTGGCGCCACATTGGAGGAGAAATCCTCGCTACTGATGCCACATCTGGTGGTCTTATATAAACCAGATCATGATGAACAGAAACCGTAAAAGTAGGGAGACATGGACAACTACAAGTCTACAACTAAACCTTAAAGTTGACAACTTGGTCAGTCAATCTGCATATCATCCGAAGTAGCACCCAGCGTATCATCCGAAGTAGCACCCACCGTATAATGCAATGTAGCAGGGAGTGGTTTGAACCTCCACTCGTGAACGACTGGATAGTCAGCAAGGGGGCAATAGACCGCAGCTTGAACAGTTTGCACAGGGCCAACATCCTTGACGGTCAAAGTCAAGAACATCACAAAGATCCTTGTAAAGACAGCCCTCTCGATTTTCACAAGCTTATAATGGTCACCCTGCTGCATCCATCCAGTTGTAATTTGGATCTTTAGAATGATGTTCATGATTTGAATGATAACATTACATAGAAAAATATATTAAGGACAGATGAGCCTAGTTACACAGACGCACAGTCTCTTCAATAATTTTCTGAATCGCACACTCAGCTGCTTCGACAATTATAGCATAGCAGCGTTGATCAGTATCGCGTTTACTCTGGCGCAGCTCTTCCACTTGAAGTGGTAGGAATGGAGATTCAAGACTAAGAGGCGGGTAGCAATCCACGTCATAACCCTACAAAAACCAGAAGCAGCTCATCAACCATTTCAATCAAACAATAAAGCTCTGGGAAAAGTTTTGATGATTGTTAACTAATAAAAATACAATACAATTAACAATCACGAATCGCAAAACCAGGAAAACCAGAGGTGGTAATCATAAATATGTCTTTTGGTGAAAATCAAAGAAATGATATTACAAGCAGGGGAGAGTGACAAGTGACAATCAAAAGCAATACTGCTATGCTATAGTTAAAAATCATTTTAAATCAACCCTCAAATTCTGCATCAGCCAAGCTAAGACACACACATCCATGTACAACATAGCAAACAAAGCTATT